CTTTGTATGTATGGATCACTTGGGTTGTTACCAACATCTGGTGAAAATTTCATGTCATTAGCACCTCTAGTAATATATTTACTGAGAAAAATAGTGACATGTTCAATACTTATTTTACCCACTGTACTTCATTGTGGTTCCAACCGGCCCCAGCTGACACCAAAATGCGACGTCAGAGCACTGTTCGTCACTGATTGGCTAAATTTTTGCAAATGTTTAAAATTTCAAAAGTTATTCATCGAATGTGTTTCCACCTCTCATTTTGCCCATTAACTTTTATTCAAAATACCTAAAAAACCACCTCCACCAACCGCCCAAAACACACCCATTGGAACCAGACTGGAACATCAGTAGAAAACCAACCAGTCCGACCCGTACCTACACCGACCGTTCTGACACTATACTAAGTGGCACTAGTGGAAAAGGGGCATTAGTCCTAAACCTAACCCCACACCCGTAATTTGCATTTGGACCCGTGGCAGTGCTCCCCATGATTCACTTCAGTACCCACGAGGCTGCTTTTTTTGAGAAAATTGTCCACACGTTGTAGGACCCCCCCACCCCGACACACACACATGCACACGTTTGCTCAGCTATCCATTTGGGGACATTCCATTGACTTCCATTACATTTCTACAGCCTAACCCTGACTTCAAACCCTAAGGCTAACCTCACAGGTACCTACCTGACCCTAAAACTAACCTCACAGGTACCTACCTGACCCTAAAGCTAACCTCACAGGTACCTACCTGACCCTAAACTAACCTCACAGGTACCTACCTGACCCTAAAACTAACCTCACAGGTACCTACCTGACCCTAAACTAACCTCACAGGTACCTACTTGACCCTAAAACTAACCTCACAGGTACCTACCTGACCCTAAACTAACCTCACAGGTACCTACCTGACCCTAAACTAACCTCACAGGTACCTACTTGACCCTAAAACTAACCTCACAGGTACCTACCTGACCCTAAACTAACCTCACAGGTACCTACCTGACCCTAAACTAACCTCACAGGTACCTACCTGACCCAAAAACTAACCTCACAGGTACCTACCTGACCCTAAACTAACCTCACAGGTACCTACTTGACCCTAAAACTAAACTCACAGGACCTGACCCTAAACTAACCTCACCTGACCCTAAACTAACCTACCTGGTACCTACCTGACCCTAAAACTAACCTCACAGGTACCTACCTGACCC